AATGCGGAGTCATATTCTGAAGATGTATTCATGGGCCGTGGCAGAGAGGCGGAGGTAGCAACGGAGGTGAAAAGAGGAAAGGATTTTCTCACTGTGAAAGTTAGGATGATGATTGTTACTGTTGGTTGTTCACTTGTTTCTTGTTTGTTTCTATGATGACAATAGATCTGAATGATCTCTCAGAATTACAGCAGAAATAGTTTTATGTTACCATTAAGCTATAATAATCTCTGCGCATCGACTGCAATATCATATTTCTAAACAATATGATAAGTTTAGATACTGGGCTCTGTAAATTAAATATGTCTACTCCGTACACTCTCTCTCTCAATCTATCTATCTATCTATCTACCTGTCTGTCTGTCTGTATGTCTATCCATCTATCACCTTCTCCCTCTCGTTCTCCCTCCCCCTTTTATCCCTCTCTCTACCTTCCCCTTCACACTCTCACCTGCACTTCTCTCTCTTCTGTCCTCCCCCTCCTTCGTCCCTCATGTTACCTGCTTCTACTCTTCTCCCTAATCCCTTTTCATCTTACTTTCCTTCTTCTCCCCAGATTTCCTCTTCCTTGCGCCTCCTCTCCTGCTCCTACTCTCCTCCTTCCCCTTATCCCACTCTCATCCCTCCTTCTTCCTCCTTCCCTGCTCTCTCCTCCTTCTTGCTCCTTCACTTTCTCCCACGCCCATCCCTCCTCCGTCCTCCCTCTTCCTTCTCCCACTCTCCATCTCTTCCCCCCCTCCCTCCCTCTCTCCCTACCCCTCTCCCTCTCTCCCTGTCCCATCCCTCCTCCCTCCTTCCTTCTCCCACTCTCTATCCCCTCCCACTCTCCCTCCCCCTCTCCCTCCACTCCTCCCTTTCACTCTCACTCTCCCTCCCCTTCTCCCTCTCCCTCCCCTTCTCTCCTTCTCCCTTTCCCTCCCCTCCTCTCCCTCCCCCTCTCCATCCCTCCCTTCTCCCCCTCCCCTTCCCCCTCCCCCCTCTCCGTGCCGTGTCATCTGAGCAAACACTTTGCCGCCGTGACTTTCACCCGCGACCGCTCTAAACACCTCTCAAAGGGATCATAAATATTAGCCTTTCTCTTACTATTATAATACTAATTTGTTTATTAGACGAAGGTCGGCTGGCGGATGCTTGTAATCTGCCGTGACTGCCTGCGAGGAAGAGGGAAAGGCAGGAGAGGGGAAGCAGGGGGGGGAAGCGGGGGAGGGGAGGAAGGGAAAGGATGGGAGAGGGGAGGGGTGGGGGAGGGAAAGAGTGGGATGGGGGAGAGGGAGAGGATGGGAGAGGAGAGGTGTGGGGGAGGGAAAGGATGGGAGAGGGGAGGGGTGGGGGAAGGGAAGGTTGGGAAATTAATATGCGTAGGTGGGGGGAAGGAGGGGGGGGGGCGTAAAGGGGTGCTTGTCTGATGTGGACGGGAGGGAGGGAGGGGAGGGAGAGGGGGAGAAAGTGAGATCACGGAAGAGAAAAGGAGAGAGAGAGAGAAAGAGAGAGCGAGAGAGAGAGAATGCATACATTTTTCTAAATGTCAATTTTCTAATCTGAATGTTCACAATGTTCTTAGCTAGCTCTTTCATTCATGAAATACATTTTTACTCTCTTTACCTCTCTACTTCACCACGCTTTACCATCTTGTTCATACGTCTGTGTAGTCATCTCTCTCTCTCTCTCTCTCTCTCCCTCTCTCTCTCTCTCTCTCTCTCTCTCTCTCTCTATATATATATATATATATATATATATATATATATATATATATATATATATAAATATATATATATATATATATATATATATATATATATATATATATATATATATATATATGTATATGTAAATGTATATATATATGTATATATATATATATATATATATATATATATATATATATATATATATATATATATATATATATATATATGTATATGTATATATATATATATATATATATATATATATATATATATAATATATATATATATATATATATATGTATATATATATATATATATATATATATATATATATATATATATATATCTTTCTTTCTCGTTTTTGCCCTCTCTCGCTCCCTCTTCATATATACATATAAATACGCGTGTGTGTTATATTTATTTTTTTGTACACGCATGTTGATATTTACATGCTTTGTATACACAAATATAGTGACCATATATGACTTAAACAAAATTTCAACTTTGTTTACCAAGAAGTCACATATATCATGGTCGAGAGGCAGTTGATACGGGGAGAAGGGAGGGGGGGGGGGGCAGGGAGAGGGAGCAAAGGGAGAGATGCAGGGGTAGGGAGCAGATTAACAGGAGCATAGGACAGAGGACAGAGTACCAAGGGCAGAGAGCAGAGTAGTGGGGCAGGGAGCAGAGTAACATGGGCATGGGGCAAAATAGCGGGGGCAGGGAGATGCATAGTAAGGACAAGGAGTAGAACAGCAGGGACAGGGAGCAGCATGACAGGGGCATGAGGTAGAATACCAGGGGCAGAGAGTAGCATAACAGGGGCAAGAGGCATCGGCTAGGTCCTCGTGCCGCTGGCTACCCTACACAAGGACGCCATTAACAATCACAAATGTTGCTTCATGTACACTTTTACAGTCGGGAACAAAGCCGTTGTGTGCGGGTGTTTGGTGCGAACAGACGGACGAGCGAATCGGCGTGAGTGTGTGTCTGTCTGTTTGAGCTTTTGTATGTGTTTGTCCGTAATACGTGAGTAAATTGCAGAAGACAATCTCAAGACAAAAAAAAAGTAACCGACGATATATTTGAGGGTATGGGTTTCTTCTCCGCGGCAGAAGTGTGTTTCTGATCATTTGCAATATTTACGTGAATTTAAAAAAAGCAGTATTGATCCTCTACCACGGTTCGATCGTGAAAGACGGCGATAGCTCGGGTGTGCGTCTTAGCACGTAGATTTGGAAATCTTTCTCTCTCTGGGTCGCCAGGTGTTGTTATCGGCATTCGTTATCTCGCGAGTTGTTGATGGCAGGGGGAAGGGGAGGGGGAAGGGTGGGGAGGGGGCAGACGTCAACAGCCAGTTATCGTAGCCTTAGGATTTGTCCATAGCGTCGTCAGTCAGAGTCGCATGAAAGTCGGGAGGGGAAGCACACTACCAGCAGTCGTAATGGGCAGACAGCTTGTTCCCGCATCCGTCATTCGTCAAAACTTGTCAACAAAATCGCGAAAAGCTGCAGACGCGAAACATTTCCTCCACCGACGCTGTTCGAAAGTCCGTGACTGAGGACTGCCATCAGCTACACGTATGTACTAGATTTCTGTGAGCGTGTGTATGTAAACTGTGTCATTACAACGTATATTTACTCCGTCCAGCCATCTCTCCCTTCCATCACTGTCTCTACCTCCCCGCCCACCTTTCTCGCCGACCCTGCTATTTCCTCGCTCTCAGCTTCTCTCGCCGTTCCGACACAGGTCTCGAGACTCCACGGGTCGGTCCTCTTCCACGGCCATGTATTTCCTTGCTTGTATGCTCTGATTCCTTCCACCCTCTCGTCAGTC